TCATTGCTGTTATGACTACCACAACTATCATTGCTGTTATGACTACCACAACTATCACTGTTGTTATGACTACCACAACTATCACTGTTGTTATGACTACCACAACTATCACTGTTATGACTACCACAACTATCACTGCTGTTATGACTACCACAACTATCATTGCTGTTATGACTACCACAACTATCAATGCTGTTATGACTACGACAACTATCACTGTTGTTATGACTACCACAACTATCACTGTTATGACTACCACAACTATCACTGTTGTTATGACTACCACAACTATCACTGTTGTTATGACTACCACAACTATCACTGTTATGACTACCACAACTATCACTGCTGTTATGACTACCACAACTATCACTGCTGTTATGACTACCACAACTATCACTGCTGTTATGACTACCACAACTATCACTGTTGTTATGACTACCACAACTATCATTGCTGTTATGACTACCACAACTATCACTGCTGTTATGACTATCACAACTATCACTGTTGTTATGACTACCACAACTATCATTGCTATTATGACTACCACAACTATCACTGTTGTTATGACTACCACAACTATCACTGTTGTTATGACTACCACATCTATCACTGCTGTTATGACTACCACAACTATCATTGCTGTTATGACTACCACAACTATCACTGCTGATATTACTACCACAACTATCACTGCTGTTATGACTACCACAACTATCACTGCTGTTATGACTACCACAACTATCATTGCTGTTATGACTACCACAACTATCATTACTGTTATGACTACCACAACTATCACTGCTGTTCTGACTACCACAACTATCACTGCAGTTATGACTACCACAACTATCACTGCTGTTGTGACTACCACAACTATCACTGCTGTTGTGACTACCACAACTATCACTGCTGTTATGACTACCACAACTATCACTGCTGTTATGGCTACCACAACTATCACTGCTGTTATGACTACCACAACTATCACTGCTGTTATGACTACCACAACTATCACTACTACTAGCACTAATTTTATAACTACCACAACTATACTACTACTAGCACTACATTTATAACTACCACAACTATCACTACTACTAACACTGTTGTTATGACTACTACAACTATCACTACTACTAGCACTGCTGTTATAATTACCACTACTAGCACTACTGTTATGACTACCACAACTATCACTACTACTAGCACAACTTTTATAACTACCACAACTATCACTGTTGTTATGAGTACCACAACTATGACTACTACTAGCACTACTTTTATAACTACCACAACTATCACTACTACTATCACTGTTGTTATAACTACCACAACTATCACTACTACTAGCACTGCTGTTTTAATTACCACTACTAGCACTACTGTTATAACTACCACAACTATCACTTCTACTAGCACTGCTGTTATAATTACCACTACTAGCACTACTGTTATAACTACCACAACTATCTCTACTACTAGCACTGTTGTTATGACTACTACAACTATCACTACTACTAGCACTGCTGTTATAATTACCACTACTAGCACTACTGTTATGACTACCACAACTATCACTACTACTAGCACAACTTTTATAACTACCACAACTATCACTGTTGTTATGACTACCACAACTATGACTACTACTAGCACTACTTTTATAACTACCACAACTATCACTACTACTATCACTGTTGTTATAACTACCACAACTATCACTACTACTAGCACTGCTGTTTTAATTACCACTACTAGCACTACTGTTATAACTACCACAACTATCACTTCTACTAGCACTGCTGTTATAATTACCACTACTAGCACTACTGTTATAACTACCACAACTATCACTACTACTAGCACTGCTGTTATAATTACCACTACTAGCACTACTGTTATAACTACCACAACTATCACTTCTACTAGCACTGCTGTTATAATTACCACTACTAGCACTACTGTTATAACTACCACAACTATCACTTCTACTAGCACTGCTGTTATAATTACCACTACTAGCACTACTGTTATAACTACCACAACTATCACTACTACTAGCACTGCTGTTATAAATTACCACTACTAGCACTACTGTTATAACTACCACAACTATCACTTCTACTAGCACTGCTGTTATAATTACCACTACTAGCACTACTGTTATAACTACCACAACTATCACTAGTACTAGCACTGCTGTTAGAATTACCACTACTAGCACTACTGTTATAACTACCACAACTATCGCTACTACTGTCACTGTTGTTATAACTACCACTACTATACTACTAGCACTACTGTTATAACTACCACAACTATCACTACTACTATCACTACTGTTATGACTACCATAACTATCACTACTATTACTACGACTACCTCTTCTACCACTACGACTACCACGACCATCATCTACCTCTACATCTACTGTCAGGGGAAGGGGGGTCAGGGAAGGGGGTCAGGGGAAGGGGGGTCAGGGGAAGGGGGGTCAGGGGAAGGGGGGTCAGGGGAAGGGGGGTCAGGGGAAGGGGGGTCAGGGGAAGGGGGGTCAGGGGAAGGGGGGTCAGGGGAAGGGGGGGTCAGGGGAAGAGGGGGGTCAGGGGAAGGGGGGTCAGGGAAGAGGGGGGTCAGGGGAAGGGGGGTCATGGGAAGGGGGGTCATGGGAAGGGGGGTCAGGGGAAGGGGGTCAGGGAAGGGGGGTCAGGGGAAGGGGGGGTCATGGGAAGGGGGGGTCAGGGAAGGGGGGGGTCATGGGAAAGGGGGGGTCATGGGAAGGGGGGTCACGGGAAGGGGGGTCAGGGGAAGGGGGGGGGTCACCTCCCTGCTGGGAAACAACAATTATAGACAAAGTGAAGATCCTAAAATAATTAGCATACACGAACAGTTTTAATGATCACAACTTTATTTCTGGAAGATGAAAAAAATAATGATAAACGGTTTAAAAATAAACCCGTTTAAACAGGATTAACAGGATAGCCACGTGTCTATACTACTAAATAACGGAAGATAAATAAAGGAGCAAATTTGTTATTATCCTTTATTTTCCTTCTCTTACTCTTTATTCTATGTCTTTATTCTATATCTTTATTCTATATCTTTATTCTATATCTTTATTCTATATCTTTATTCTATATCTTTATTCTTGTCTTTATTCTATGTCTTTATTCTATGTCTTTATTCTATATCTTATTCTATGTCTTTATTCTATGTCTTATTCTATGTCTTTATTCTATATCTTTATTCTATATCTTTATTCTATATCTTTATTCTATGTCTTTATTCTATGTCTTTATTCTATGTCTTTATTCTATATCTTTATTCTATATCTTTATTCTATATCTTTATTCTATGTCTTTATTCTATATCTTTATTCTATATCTTTATTCTATGTCTTTATTCTATATCTTTATTCTATGTCTTTATTCTATATCTTTATTCTATATCTTTATTCTATATCTTTATTCTATGTCTTTATTCTATGTCTTTATTCTATGTCTTTATTCTATATCTTTATTCTATATCTTTATTCTATATCTTTATTCTATGTCTTTATTCTATATCTTTATTCTATATCTTTATTCTATGTCTTTATTCTATATCTTTATTCTATATCTTTATTCTATATCTTTATTCTATATCTTTATTCTATGTCTTTATTCTATATCTTTATTCTATATCTTTATTCTATGTCTTTATTCTATATCTTTATTCTATGTCTTTATTCTATATCTTTATTCTATATCTTTATTCTATGTCTTTATTCTATATCTTTATTCTATATCTTTATTCTATGTCTTTATTCTATGTCTTTATTCTATATCTTTATTCTATATCTTTATTCTATGTCTTTATTCTATATCTTTATTCTATGTCTTTATTCTATATCTTTATTCTATGTCTTTATTCTTTGTCTTTATTCTTTGTCTTTATTCTATATCTTTATTCTATGTCTTTATTCTATATCTTTATGTCTTTATTCTATATCTTTATTTTATATCTTTATTCTATGTCTTTATTCTATATCTTTATTCTATATCTTTATTCTATATCTTTATTCTATATCTTTATTCTATGTCTTTATTCTATATCTTTATTCTATGTCTTTATTCTATATCTTTATTCTATGTCTTTATTCTATATCTTTATTCTATATCTTTATTCTATATCTTTATTCTATGTCTTTATTCTATATTTTTATTCTATGTCTTTATTCTATATCTTTATTCTATATCTTTATTCTATGTCTTTATTCTATATCTTTATTCTATATCTTTATTCTATGTCTTTATTCTATATCTTTATTCTATATCTTTATTCTATATCTTTATTCTATGTCTTTATTCTATATCTTTATTCTATGTCTTTATTCTATATCTTTATTCTATATCTTTATTCTATGTCTTTATTCTATATCTTTATTCTATATCTTTATTCTATGTCTTTATTCTATATCTTTATTCTATATCTTTATTCTATATCTTTATTCTATGTCTTTATTCTATATCTTTATTCTATGTCTTTATTCTATATCTTTATTCTATGTCTTTATTCTATATCTTTATTCTATATCTTTATTCTATATCTTTATTCTATGTCTTTATTCTATATCTTTATTCTATGTCTTTATTCTATATCTTTATTCTATATCTTTATTCTATGTCTTTATTCTATATCTTTATTCTATATCTTTATTCTATGTCTTTATTCTATATCTTTATTCTATATCTTTATTCTATATCTTTATTCTATGTCTTTATTCTATATCTTTATTCTATGTCTTTATTCTATATCTTTATTCTATATCTTTATTCTATGTCTTTATTCTATATCTTTATTCTATATCTTTATTCTATGTCTTTATTCTATATCTTTATTTTATATCTTTATTCTATATCTTTATTCTATATCTTTATTCTATATCTTTATTCTATATCTTTATTCTATGTCTTTATTCTATGTCTTTATTCTATGTCTTTATTCTATGTCTTTATTGCAGTCTGTTCTTCCTTTAATCTCCTCTTTCTTCTCCCTACTTATCATGTGCTATACCTGGAGTATCCCTGGAGGGGGTTCAGGGGGTCAACGCCCCCGCGGTCCGGTCCATGACCAGGCCTCGTGGTGGATCAGGGCCTGATCATCCAGGCTGTTACTGCTGGCCGCACGTAGACTGACGTACGAACCACAGCTCGGCTGGTCAGGAACTGACTTCAGGTATCTGTCCAGAGCCTGCTTGAAGACAGCCAGGGGTCTATTGGTAATCCCCCTTATGTATGCTGGGAGGCAGTTGAACAGTCTTGCACCCCTGACACTTACTGTGTTGTCTTTTATCGTACTCGTGGCGCCCTGCCGTGTCTTTTGCTTTCGTAGGAGTGATTTCCGTGGCCCGATTTGGGACTAGTCCCTCTTAAAAATTTTCCAAGTGTATATTATCATGCATCTTTCTCGCCTTCGTTTGAAGGAGTACAAGTCAAAGTACTTCAACCGGTCCCAGTACTTTAGGTGCATTATTGTACTTACACGCCCAGTGAAAGTTCTATGTACATTCTCCAGCTCTGATATTTCGCCTGCCCTGAAAGGGGCCGTTAGTGTACAGCAATATTCCAGCCTAGAGGGAACAAGCGATTTGAAGAGAATCATGGGCTTGGCATCCTAGTTTTAAAGGTTCTCATTATCCTTCCTATCATTTTCCTAGCTGACGTTGTAGATACATTGTTGTGATCTTTGATAGTGAGATCCTCTGACATTATCACTCCCAGGTCCTTCACATTAGATTTTCACTACTGTGTAGTTGGAATCTGTTTTATCCTCTGATCTAGTTTTTATTTCCTCTAAATTGAACTTTGTATTTTTTTTTTTTTTTGCGGCCCATTTAATATTCGCTGGGACATTTGTAGTGTCCTCAATGATTGACACTGTCATGCAAATTCTGATATCAGCAAAGTAGGATATGGTGCTGTGGCTTACATCTCTGTCTGTGTCAGATATAAGGATGAGGAAAATGATGGGAGTGAGTACTGTACCTGGTGGAACAGAGCTTTTCACTAAACCTCATCTGGCTTTGCGTACTATTACTCTTTGTGTTCTATCTGTTAGGAAGTTATAGATCCATCTACCCACTTTTCCTGTTATTCCTTTAGCACGCATTTTGTGCGCTATTACATAATGATCGCATTTGTAGAAGCTTTCACAAAGTCTGTGTATACTATGTCTGAATTTTGTTTGTCCTCCAGATCATCCATTACCATATCATAGTGGTCCAGTAGTTGCGAGAGGCAGAAGCGACCTGCTCTAAAGCCTTAATGCCCTGGATTGTGTATCCAAGTGGTTGATAGTCTTGCTCCTTTGAACTCGTTCAAAGATTTTTATGATGTGGGACGTTAGTTCTTTCGGTCTGGAATTCCTTCCAATTGCTTTACTGCCATCTTTGTGGAGTGGGGCTATGTCTGTTGCTTTTAGTGACTGTGGGATGACTCCTTTATCTATGCTCCCTCTCCATAGAATATTTAAGGCAGGTTTCTTGCAGTTCTTGATGAACACGGAGTTCCACGAGTCTGGACCTGGGGCAGAGTGCACGGCTTTTCCAAACTCCTGTGGTGTTAGGATATTGTCAGCAGTTCTTGAATTAACCAAATTTTGAATCTCGGTCATAAAAAAATTATTTAGGTTGTCTACCCTTAGTCTAATTACCGGCTCACTAAACGCTGAGTCAAATTGGGACTTATGTATCTTACTCATTTCTTTGCTGTCGTCTGTGTAAGTTCCATCTCGTTTCAGCAGGGGCCCAATACTAGATGTTTTTGCCCTAGGTTTGGTGTAAGACAGTGTGGCATGCAAAGAGTACGTAACCTTTATTCAGCGCATGTACACACCCTCATTTACAGGCTATCTCCCCGAACCAGGTGACTGAGGGTTGACGATGGGGCCCCGTCGTTCAACTAGTAACCAGGTTCCAGCCAATAAGAAGATGGTTTTGGCAATCGCAGAGGTTATGTGGTTACCACTCTCCTGTCTGCCCTTGTCATTCCCATTCTATAGCTGGTTGAAGCACGGTCTGCTATCTTGTGGCTTCTATTTTGTCTTGCTTACCGTGGAGTGCACTAATACCTATCACTGTACATAGTGTATATAGTGTACATACTTCTGTCCTAAATTGGTGAAGGATAATATAAGTCAAAACTTTTCTGCTGTGTTTATTTTGCTCCCTTTACACCCAGGATAACAGGCCATTTGGAATCCTGGGTTGTAATAGACAGTATTATTTTTAAGTTCATTTTTGGTTCATAGTCTTGGATCAGATGGACGATTCAGTAGAGATGTGAGTTTAGTGGAAAGAGGTAAGCAGCTGTTGAAGGTGGCTCAGGTGGCTGTCAGAGACGTCAGCTGTGCTGCTACCAGCTACAGTGTGAGCTACACTAGCTGACTTTGTCATGTGAAGATGGACTAGAAGTAATAGAGGATGAGCTTATCCAAGAGGTTGACCTTCAAGTGCAAGTGTTCCGTAGCTCTGTTGGTAGTGCACTTAGTTCACACATTGAGGTCCGTGGTTCGATTCCCGGATAGGGTAGATACTTTAGGGCGTGTTTCCTTAAAACACTTGCTGTCCATGTTCACGTATCAGTAAAATATTCGACTGGTGTGGGTCGCATCCTGGGGACAAAATTGACCAAATTTGCCCGAGCTGTTCTGCATAAGCAGAGGCTATCTATACAGCATGTCACTGATCTCAGCTATGGTCTGTATAAGTTGTATCATGTACTTGTAGAAATTAAGATCATATTATTATTATTATTATTGTTATTCTCCAGTCGGCAGCCTGCCCGGCACTGCCGGGTCCAGAATCTCAGCATCACACATCTAACGGCAGCCTTACGAATTACACTTGCTCCAGGTCACTCACATGGGAGTGTATGACAACACCCTCGCGTCTGGACCATCATCACACACCACCTCTTGACCTGGGATAGAAATGCTACACCGTTAACACGTTATCTGTCTTGAGTGATAAGAGTAGTATTTACACTGTAAGACAACACTGTAACAAAGGATAACACACACGTACAACAGAACTGGCAACAAGAAGCACTAACACAATTTACAATGAACGGGAGTGGCAGAAAACACTAGAGACACAAAGCTTAGCTCCAAATGAAAAATAAAAATGGCTGGAAGCCGGAAACACAATATACCAGGTATGTACGTGGAGAGGAGCTCAGAGAGAAGCTAGGGGTCGATTCTCTTCCAGGCTACACATGGTAAGGCAGGTGGAAAGAGAATAACGCTCACATAGCAGAGAGACATTTCGGTCCAAGCCGGACCGAAACGTCGTCATAAGGTTCTTTCCTATGTGCGGTTATTTGTGTATTGATCCAGTCACAGTATTGTGCCTTTTTGTTCTTCAGAAGAGAAATTAGGCAGAAATAGACAGGAATCAGACTTACCAGCCCTAGCACAGGCCTACCAGATGGCGCTGGCAGGCCAGGTATGTAGAATTAAGATTGATTAATGTATGTAGACAGCAGACTCAGTCACCTCCAGAGATTCTGGAGACTATTATCAAGGGGGAAGCGCTAAACCAGTAGGATTACACAGCTCCTGTGGGAAGCGGGGGTGTGAAAGGTATGCAGGCTTAATTCGAGGAACTGGAGCACAGATCCAATTCCCTAGATCACGAGCCCCTCACCAGCATCAATGAACCTTCCTTGTGGGGAGATTCTAGAGGAGAATAAGATTATAACCATCACTACCGCTCTGACTACTACCATCACCATTTACCATCACTATTGCTCTATCACCACTATCTACTTCTACTGCTCTGAATACTATCTATCTCTCCTACCAAAACTGATCTACCATCATCATTATCTACCAGTACGTCTACTACTACTGCTGTTACTACTGTTATCACCACCTACCTCTACTTCTGCTGATTCTGTGACTATCATCACTATCTCCTACCACAACTGCTGTTACTACCACTGTCTACTGTCACTACTGCTGTTACTACCACTGTCTACTACCACAACTGCTGTTACTACAACTGTCTGCTGCCACTACTGTTGTTACTACCACTGTCTACTGCCACTACTGCTGTTACTGCCACTGTCTACTGCCACTACTGCTGTTACTGCCACTGTCTACTGCCACTACTGCTGTTACTACCACTGTCTACTGTCACTACTGCTGTTACTACCACTGTCTACTACCACAACTGCTGTTACTACAACTGTCTGCTGCCACTACTGTTGTTACTACCACTGTCTACTGCCACTACTGCTGTTACTACAACTGTCTACTGCCACTACTGCTGTTACTACCACTGTCTACTGCCACTACTGCTGTTACTACAACTGTCTACTGTCACTACTGCTGTTACTACCACTGTCTACTGCCACTACTGCTGTTACTACCACTGTCTACTGCCACTACTGCTGTTACTACCACTGTCTACTGCCACTACTGCTGTTACTACCACTGTCTACTGTCACTACTGCTGTTACTACCACCGTCTACTGCCACTACTGCTGTTACTACCACTGTCTACTGCCACTACTGCTGTTACTACCACCGTCTACTGCCACTACTGCTGTTACTACCACTGTCTACTGCCACTACTGCTGTTACTACCACCGTTTACTGCCACTACTGCTGTTACTACCACTGTCTACTGTCACTACTGCTGTTACTACCACTGTCTACTGACACTACTGCTGTTACTACCACCGTCTACTGCCACTACTGCTGTTACTACCACTGTCTACTGCCACTACTGCTGTTACTACCACTGTCTACTACCACTACTTCTGTTACTACCACTGTCTACTGCCACTACTGCTGTTACTACCACTGTCTACTGCCACTACTGCTGTTACTACAACTGTCTACTGCCACTACTGCTGTTACTACCACTGTCTACTGCCACTACTGCTGTTACTACCATTGTCTACTGCCACTACTGCTGTTACTACCACTGTCTACTGCCACTACTGCTGTTACTACCACTGTCTACTGCCACTACTGCTGTTACTACCACTGTCTACTGCCACTACTGCTGTTACTACCACTGTCTACTGCCACTACTGCTGTTACTACCACTGTCTACTGCCACTACTGCTGTTACTACCACTGTCTACTGCCACTACTGCTGTTACTACCACTGTCTACTGCCACTACTGCTGTTACTACCACTGTCTACTGCCACTACTGCTGTTACTACCACTGTCTACTGCCACTACTGCTGTTACTACCACTGTCTACTGCCACTACTGCTGTTACTACCACTGTCTACTGCCACTACTGCTGTTACTACCACTGTCTACTACCACTACTGCTGTTATTACCACTGTCTACTACCACTACTGCTGTTACTACCACTGTCTACTGCCACTACTGCTGTTACTACCACTGTCTACTGTCACTACTGCTGTTACTACAACTGTCTACTGCCACTACTGCTGTTACTACCACTGTCTACTGCCACTACTGCTGTTACTACAACTGTCTACTGCCACTACTGCTGTTACTACCACTGTCTACTGTCACTACTGCTGTTACTACAACTGTCTACTGCCACTACTGCTGTTACTACCACTGTCTACTGCCACTACTGCTGTTACTACCACTGTCTACTGTCAGTACTGCTGTTACTACAACTGTCTACTGCCACTACTGCTGTTACTACCACTGTCTACTGTCACTACTGCTGTTACTACAACTGTCTACTGCCACTACTGCTGTTACTACCACTGTCTACTACCACTACTGCTGTTACTACAACTGTCTACTGCCACTACTGCTGTTACTACCACTGTCTACTGTCACTACTGCTGTTACTACAACTGTCTACTGCCACTACTGCTGTTACTACCACTGTCTACTGCCACTACTGCTGTTACTACCACTGTCTACTGCCACTACTGCTGTTACTACCACTGTCTACTGCCACTACTGCTGTTACTACCACTGTCTACTGCCACCACTGCTGTTACTACCACTGTCTACTGTCACTACTGCTGTTACTACCACTGTCTACTGCCACTACTGTTGTTACTACCACTGTCTACTGCCACTACTGCTGTTACTACCGCTGTCGACTGCCACAACTGCTGTTACTACCACTGTCTACTACCACTACTGCTGTTACTACCACTGTCTACTGCCACTACTGCTGTTACTACCACTGTCTACTGCCACTACTGCTGTTACTACCACTGTCTACTGCCACCACTGCTGTTACTACCACTGTCTACTGTCACTAGTGCTGTTACTACCACTGTCTACTGCCACTACTGTTGTTACTACCACTGTCTACTGCCACTACTGCTGTTACTACCACTGTCGACTGCCACAACTGCTGTTACTACCACTGTCTACTACCACTACTGCTGTTACTACCACTGTCTACTACCACTACTGCTGTTACTACCACTGTCTACTGCCACTACTGCTGTTACTACCACTGTCTACTGCCACCACTGCTGTTACTACCACTGTCTACTGTCACTACTGCTGTTACTACCACTGTCTACTGCCACTACTGTTGTTACTACCACTGTCTACTGCCACTACTGCTGTTACTAACACTGTCGACTGCCACAACTGCTGTTACTACCACTGTCTACTACCACAATTGCTGTTACTACCACTGTCTATTACCACTACTACTACCACTATCTACTACCACTATCTACTACCACTATCTACACCAACCTCTACCACTGCTGTTACTGTACCAGGAATTCGTTTACCCTTTCTCCCTTTCTTCTTACCTTTTTACTCTAACTCGCCCCTCTCTTTATTCTTTCCCTTCCTTCCTGTTTCCCCCTCCCTTTTCCCTTACCCTCCTTTTGCTCTCTCTCTCTCTCTCTCTCTCTCTCTCTCTCTCTCTCTCTCTCTCACCCTCCTCACTTTCTCCCTACCTCTCTTCCTCCCTCACTCCCTTCTCCTTTCCCGGAAGCTCTTCTTAAAGCCATGTTTCCAAGACTTGCTTCGGTGAGACCTTATCTCTCTACCTGGAGTGTGAGGGAGACAGTGTAGTGAGAGACAGTAGTCTGAGGGAGACAGTGTAGTGAGAGACAGTAGTCTGAGGGAGACAGTGTAGTGAGAAACAGTGTACTAAGGGAGACAGTGTACTAAGGGTGACAGTGTACTAAGGGTGACAGTGTACTAAGGGAGACAGTGTACTAAGGGTGACAGTGTACTAAGGGAGACAGTGTACTAAGGGTGACAGTGTACTAAGGGAGACAGTGTACTAAGGGAGACAGTGTACTAAGGGAGACAGTATACTAAGGGTGACAATGTACTAAGGGTGACATTGTACTAAGGGTGACAGTGTACTAAGGGAGACAGTGTACTAAGGGTGACAGTGTACTAAGGGAGACAGTGTACTAAGGGAGACAGTGTACTAAGGGAGACAGTATACTAAGGGTGACAATGTACTAAGGGTGACAGTATACTAAGGGTGACAGTGTACTAAGGGTGACATTGTACTAAGGGTGACAGTGTACTAAGGGTGACATTGTACTAAGGGTGACAGTGTACTAAGGGAGACAGTGTACTAAGGGTGACAGTGTACTAAGGGTGACATTGTACTAAGGGTGACAGTGTACAAAGGGTGACATTGTACTAAGGGTGACAGTGTACTAAGGGAGACAGTGTACTAAGGGTGACAGTGTACTAAGGGAGACAGTGTACTAAGGGAGACAGTGTACTAAGGGAGACAGTGTACTAAGGGTGACAGTGTACTAAGGGAGACAGTGTACTAAGGGTGACAGTGTACTAAGGGAGACAGTGTACTAAGGGTGACAGTGTACTAAGGGTGACAGTATACTAAGGGTGACAGTGTACTAAGGGAGACAGTGTACTAAGGGTGACAGTGTACTAAGGGTGACATTGTACTAAGGGTGACAGTGTACAAAGGGTGACATTGTACTAAGGGTGACAGTGTACTAAGGGAGAC